AGACTTAGCAGATTTTGCTTTATCTACTGTGTTTACAAGGGCGCCGATTATTGAGCGGGACAGGTTAGCGTTTCCGATCTTCATGGAGGGTCATTACGAAGATCCGCACTGCGATGATGTTTCCCAGGTCGCGGGCGTGCTCGTTTGTCAAATTGTCCTGCCGGATGACAACGATGACGAAGATCTTATCCTTCAGAACATTGATGAAGCGGGAGAACCAAATGGTATGGATGCGAACGGCGCACCACGTGATGTGAGAGCTACGACTGCAGAGGACCATGGTGACAATAGTCTTTCTAGCACTTTAGAGCGAAACCTGCAGGCGAATACCACAAGAAACTCGGTAACTACGAACAGGACCAGCGCAGCTGCAGCTGGATTGACCTCGATTGCACAAGATGGAGGAGCAAATAGCGCAATGATCATCAATGCGACTAATCCTCGAATGACGCACCATAATTATAAAAGCTGTGTTAGTAGTACTAATGTCGGTGGAGGCTATGGCCTTACTGGCTACCATGCTCACGACTATTCCTTCTACAGCGCGTCGTCTAAACAAGGTGGAGTAATAACGACTACCGGTAGTGGCGCGCCATCGACTACGCACTACTTGGCTCATTTGGATCGTAGATACTCTTCGTCAGGAGGTGGAAGAGATAGTTTGGCGAGCATCCGTACTAGTACTTCTACGAAACCGGAAGACCCTGACTTGGTGACATTTCCGCGTGACTACGTTGGCGCGATCCACATTGTGGCTGGCGTATTGAGTGATGCGTGGAACTATCACACGAGCAAGAGAATCCGCAACGTGCTGGAGGGGGTGACTTTTTCCATGGTGCATGCGATGGAGGAGGTGATCGAGCATGAGGGGAAAACCTTTCAGAACGACATTCTGCCGGTTGTGTGTGGTGTAGCGAAGAACCTAGTGGGCTGCGACAAGGTCGCGCTCTGGTTCGTGGACGGCGATGGGAAGGAACTAGTTTTGAGGGAACAGTCCGGGGGCGTCTTGCTCAGGGGCGCTCGCGTAAACTTGAAAGCGGGTTTAGTCGGTCTTTGTATTCACAACCGCTCAGTGGTCAACGTCACTGACGGCGTCGAGGAGCATCCGCGGTACAACCCCTACCTCGATTGCGGTGGCGAATTAGTCCGAGTAGGCGAAGAGGTTTTCCACAGAGGTAAGCTGTTGCGCAACGTTTTGTCCGTCCCCCTATTCGGCGAGCACGAGAAAGACAGCAAGGACGGAGGCAACGAGACAGATGCGGAAGAGGAAGCGGTTTTGCAAGATTTAGATGCACAATTGTCCTTCATGCATCGCTTAGCGACTAATGACGACCTCCCAGGTGGTGAAGCAATAATTGAGGACGGTGATGAAGAAGATGCTGGAAAGTTGAGAGAAGGAGACGCCGTCAGAGAGTCACGTGATTCAAACGCCTCAAAGAGAAACAAGAACGCGGCCACTCCTTCGCAACCTACCGTTACCCCTCCACCTAGTAGTGCTACAGCAGATAGTACTTCTACTAGTATTATGAAAGATCAAGAAGTTCCAACTCGCGAGCTCCCCAGTGCACTGTCACGAGGGTCAGGCAAGGTAGAGAGGAGTGGGACACGACGTGGCGTGACCATTCGAGTTCCGGATCGGTCTGGTAGTGCTGAAGATCTTAGTTGTACCGATCACGCGGGAGTAGACTTCGATGTCGAGCACATCCGAGCTTCTTTTAACGATGTAGTGGCAGGCAGAGGCACAGCGAACCTAGATGGAGGAGGCCCCGGTGTAGCTCCAGGCGCCAGAATGTCTATAGCAGCTAGGAAAAAATCGATCATGTGGCAGCAAGAGGGCGTCGCCTTACTAGAAGACGTCGTGTTGCATCATCGTAAAACTGGCATCTTAGATCAGGTGAAAGCGAAGCAGTGTTTGGCCAACATGACTTTGGCGAGAAGCTACTGCCGCGACAGCGCTCATAGGGCCGCAGTGTCCGGGATCATGACGGAACTGCAGAAAAGCTTAGCAGCGGAGAGTAGAAAAGCATCGATCAGAGTGAACAAGCTTAAATTGCTGCGCAGTAGAGGCGGAAACTCTGAGACCATGATGAACAAAGATCTTCAAGTTCGAGACAATCTTCAAAGTGGAAGGGCCACAGTTGCAGAGGGAGCGGCCTTTGCGTCGTCTACTTCAGAAACAGAATCATCTAAGAAGGGTACTGGAGGAGAACAACCAAGCAGTCGTGGTCAGGAAGAATCGACTTCTGGTTCCGCCTCTGTGTCCGCTGCGACAAGAGGAGGCAGTGCAACGCCAAATAATTCGTCTCGGCTACCACTAGGGAGGCAAGAACTAGAAGAGCGGGCAAAGCAGAACAAAAACAGAAGTCCAGAGTCGCTTTCAAGGGGTCAATCCGGTGAAATTGACGCGCCCGCTGCCGTGGTGCCGAAGAACTCGACTTTGTCAGTTGCGACCGTAGCTTCTTGCCGCTTTAGCGAAACCACTGGTTTGTACTCGGAACAAGTCTCTACCTACGGCGCATCTGCGAGCGGAGTTAGTGTCATGGAGCCTCTGGGGGATCGAATTTCTATGATCGAACGCTATAAATCTCGACTTCTTGACAGTCTCGATTCGGATTTAGTGGAGATAGCTCAACATCCTGAAGGAATAAGGAGAAAGAAAGTGATAGGCGTTGTGCAATTCGGAAACTACGGACTGGCGTACTTTCTTATACTTAGTTACTTCAGTAGTTTCTTTTCGAGTACATTTATTGTGACTTCCACTTCTTGTCCTAAGCCTAGATCATGTAGAAAGAAAATTAAGTACTGCTCAATCATTGCTTTATAACTACTTACATCTCGATAACTATCACTCGACGTGATGGAGGTAAAATATGATCCTACTATCTCAACCTACTATCTCAACAGGGAAACGGATGGCATGTTCGACTATGGACAAAGCGTGGTGCAGTTCGCCTGTGCTCTCGCTCAAGGCCCCATTGATCTTGCAGTGAGGATAGCGGGATTACTCTCCAAATTGAACGCAGAAAGGAGTCAGAAGGTAACACTAACATTGTTTAGTACTATAATTTGGACTGGAAGAACCATGATTCTGTTGCCGATCTTTTATTTGCCACAATTTTTATCGCATCGTAGTTTTAGTTATCAATCTATCTGCTCTATGTATCGTATCTTCTGTGCTGAGAAGGATCGGCTTAGGTACGTTGGTACTGGTCCTTCGATCTTCTTATTCACATCACCTAGTATCCTTCCAAAAGAGCGATCATCATCTTCAACACTTCTATCATTTTATCATCCGCCCATCAACTACACAGAATCGCGTGTGGTCCCTTGCCGAGCGCATGATGCGGTGCCAGACTATCCGGGATCTAGTTAGTCTCGTCAGTTTCCAGCTCAAGGAGATCATGCACTGCGACTACGCAGCCATCCTGTTCCACGACTCCGCTAACCGGATCGTCCGGACAGCATTGACCAAGCGAGGACACAGCAGAGCCACTGCTTCTGGCTCTAGTGCCACCCGTTCCTCTACAGGTACAGCCGAACAACAGTATAATGAAGACCGTACGGTGTTTTTGTCCTACGGTCCCGGTGCTGACATGCCTGGTGCTGGAACTGCGATTGAGGAAGCAATCATGACCGGCAGACCCGTGATTGTGAATCACTTGGATCCGCAGATGGTGGAGAAGCTCAAACCCCTCTATGCGGATCGGTGGGAGCAGGCAGCCACTTCCTCTTCTCAAACAACCATGATGGGCAACTCGGTGCAGTCAGGGGAAGCACGCAACGTGGTTGTAGTCCCGGTTTTCAACAGACCTCAAAGTCTGAAATCGAAAACTGGCTCTGGTCATCTTAAGGCTCGCTCCTGTAGCTAATTCATCCTTGCCTGCTGCATCCTTGAAACGTATGCTGGGGGAGCATCCTAGTATGGGAATCTCACTCTGGCATATTTTTCAAGGATACTTTTCAAGGAGGAGATGAATTAAAGGGAGAGCGCTAAGGATCGCGGAGACCACAGAGGAATGGATCATGGGCCTGAGAACGTTACCGGCTTATTGTGGCTCTTCAACAAAAAGGACGTCTCCAAAACAAGATTGGCTTCCTGGACACGGGAAGATGCACAGACCTTGAGGTTTCTAGCCGTGGAGTTGATGGGCCATTTTTCGCGGTTGAGGTCAGATTTGGTGATGGAGGAAGCGAGACTGAATTTAGACTCCAATACACAATCGCTGTTGGCGCAGTACTATTCGATGGCTAGTACGAGTACGACTGCAGCTGGACATCATTCGCATTCGGTCTCCGTACACACAGGAGGAGCTCCGGTAGTATCGCCAAGAATAACAAACTTAGTAGTTCCCGGTAGAGACGCGGCTAGTCCAGCACAGAAAGCTGCGAAACCAGCGGAGGTGGAAAAGCCGCCAGCCAGTGGAGACAGGAGGACAGTTCTTCCTAGCCAGACTTCCAAGGAAACAACACCAATACCTAGTAGTCCAGAGACGCCTGTCGCTGAGGCAGCACATGCTGCACATGGTCATTCTTCAAAGATGAAAGCTCAAACACCTTCTAAAGAAACTACTGACAAGCGAGCAATTGGTGTACTACACACTGGTGTCACTCCTCCACATGGTAAGACATCTTTGGCAGTGGTTCCCTCTGCGTCTTCTGCAGAGCTGATTGAACCAGTGACTTGGGATCTGTGCGTTTTGGATCTGCTAGGGGCAGAAGTTCAAGATGGCATGGTGCGTCGTGTTTTGGAGCACACTGGTTTGATTCCTCTACCGGAGAATTTGCTACAAGCTAAAAACGCTGCTGCTCTACAAGCTCAACAAGGAGCATCCGGCACCGGCTCAGGAAACAATAAGGGAGCAGGAGGTTCATCCGGCGTACCTCCACAGGTGTTGTCGTCTATCGACAATTTAGTAGGCTTAGCTTCCGCTCCTCCACAGGGTAGCCATCCGTATTTGCTGACGGGAATGCCAGTATTGCATACTAGCTATGTGCTGAAGTACTGCTCACTCGTACGCGCTCTCTACCATAGTCCAGACAGCGTACCTTACCACAACTACTTCCATGCTTTGTGCGTCGCGCAATTGGCCTACCTCCTTCTGCGTGATGCAAAACTCCTGCATGAAGTGAGACCCATCGAGTTCCTGGCGGTCATCTTAGGCTCCCTAGGACACGACGCGGGGCATCGCGGTTTTACGAACCAATTCGAAGTGTCGACCAAAAGTGACCTGGCCTTGAGGTACAACGACTTGTCGGTGTTGGAGAACCATCACGCGAGTATCAGTTGGGGCTCCATCGTCTCTGCAGGAGTCGCGTTGCAGGTCTCGATGCAAGACTGTCTACCAGCACATACGGCAGAACAGGACCAAAGTGGCAGTGCAGGTGACCAAACCGCAACTAAGCCGTCCAACACTGCAGGAGCGTCAGCAGGAGCATCCTCATCAGGTTCTACCACCTCACCAGCCTCACCAGCTAGCAGAGTGGTCCCTCCAAAAATCTCTCCTACTCTCGACCGCTTCCGTCTGTTGTTCGTTTCCGGGATCATCAACACGGATATGAAATTTCACGGCGAGCACATTCAGAAAGCGCATCACGTGGTCAAATACTGCCAAGATCGAGACGCGAAGGTAGGAGATGAAGACATCTACGCGCCAGACGAAGATGAGGACGATGACACGACGTCGAGCAGTTCATCGGGTTCGGAAGGATCCGCTGTAGACGTAGAGGAGCTTGTTGAGAGGCAGCTGTTGACCGAAGCGGAGGATGATGATATTCTAGACGTGGAATTGGATGAGGAACTCGATGCTGCTGAGAATGAAGAAGGAGGTGGTGGAGCTTCTGGCTCTGACGACATTAGGAAAAGGTATAGCAAAAGAACCAGTAAGAGTCGTGACAGTCGTACCAGCAACGGTCCGAGAGCGGTGGAGATGTCTCCGAATCTGAAGCCCGCCTCAGAGGCTACCGCGAGCAAAGAGAGCACAGCAGGACCATTGCACCTACCAAACGTTCCGGGTCGTGGTCCCTGCTCTCAAGTGGACCAAGATCGAGCAAGTAATGCCAGTCACGAGACTGTCGATGTCGAAATGAGTGGGGAGGGGGACGAGGAAGATGATGCGGACGGCGAAGGTGAAGATCAAGATGGAAATGGTAACATCAAGAAAAGTTCTAACTCGGGATCTAAAAACTACTCGGGATCGGGTGATAAACGGGCTACAACTTCTCGTGCCAGTGGTCGTGTATCAAATACTAGTGGTAAGAGGAGGCTTAGTGGCGCTAGTGCAACGTCTTCGGGTGCAGAAGCGAGTGCATCAACATCTTCTAGGAACAAAACCAACAAAACCAAAGGCACTTCCCCAAAGAGCACATCCAGCAAGACCAAGAGCGGCGCATCCCCTAAACGCAGCAAGAACGATAGCAAAGTTGTGTCTAGGGCTAGCAGTGGAGGTGGGAAGATCAAGAGGAGCACGAAAACACCAGTTAAGCCGCCACTGGAACCTCTGCCGGATAATGTAAGACAAGACGTCTGCGAACTCTTCTTGCACTTAGCAGACATCGGCAACATGGTGACCCCGCTGAAACAAAGCGTGCGATGGAAGAAAATCGTACTATTCTTTTTTTGAATCTTAGATTGGTGGCTTCGCGATAGCCTCATATTCGTGCATCAGAAACTCATTGTGATGTTTGTGTCGAGTCATTTTCATTACAAGAAGGTTTTCTACGCAGATCCAGCGTGTCCATCCTTGTCTTTATCCTTATCGATTCTTATCTCCATAATCATCCCCTCTCCACCCACAGGTCCTCGCTGAATTCGAGTCTCAGGCTATCGCGGAAACGAAGCTTGGCCTACCGATCTCCATGTTTCCGGACGGCTTAGACACCCCTATCAAACGAGCAAGGACCCAGGTCGGCTTCCTGAACTATGTCGTGATGCCATTGTTCAATGTGTTGCACTCTCAATTCCCTATGCCGGTGCCTGCAGGATACGCTAAGGTAACTAGCGCATTCTACACGAAGATTATCAAGGGAGAAATCGAATTAGACGAATATCCGGGAGACGAAGTGATACGACAGTTGGAAACATGATTACTTTCTGCCACTGGTTAGGGTGAATTGTCACATGACATCTTGATCTTCCAAAGTCTGGCTCATTATGATACCAACATATTACAGTTAAACCTTCATGACCTACTAGCGCTTTCAAATTATACGTACCTATTTCTGGAACATGATTTACAATTACCATCAAAATGGAACGCTCACGACGAGCACGACGATGCCATAGAAGCACACAAAGAGTGGTACGGCAGTCCTCGAGGTCACCCTTCCTCAACTAAAACTGTCACCTTGATTTCTTCCCAATGCCCCAGCGGGCTATTAAGTGGTATCGTTTTTAACCTGTTGTAGCTTCAGTTTTGGGATTCTTGAATTTCGCATTTTTTTTGTCATAGTTCTGTGTACAGTGTTCTGGTAATTTCATTCTCCCAATAAAAGGGAACCTGATAACAACATTTTCATGTAACTAATCTTTCAAAGAAAATCAAAATCATCTCTTTCAACGTTATAAGGTTAAATCGTGTTTTCGTTTTGTATCTATTAGCTTATAATTCTTTAGACGGTTTTCTCGTGTCAATGAAAATTATTTTCTCGATTCATTGCAACATCAATTAACGGCATCACAAGAAAGTACCTCTAGCTAGGGACGACATACATACACACATAGACATACATGCATACACCCACTATGCTCGTGCTTATTAACCCAGTAAATTCTTCAATCAACAAGACACAAGACGATGGTCAGCAACAAAGACAAGGTCGTCAACTAAGGTTTAATGAATAGCATCAATTGTACCAACGACTCCTGCACCACGGGGGGACAAATTCGCGCTTCTAAAGGTTTGATTCAATTTGACAGAGTCCTGCTTCGCAAAAGTAGGTAAAGACAAGGTAATATATGGAATGAGTATAAGTTTTTCAGCAAAATAAAATGTTTGGTAAATGTTTTTCCCAGTTAATGAACATCGGTCCTTGCTGTGTTTCCACTTCCCTAGGTAGAGGAAGCGGAGATATCAGTGAAGAGCAAATCGCTATCGTCGTCGTGCCCGTCATTAAAATCGCATTTGCAAAGATATACTGTTGATCAGAGAAGATTTTTTATCAATCGTGAAAAAATAATGTGATGCTAGGATTTGCTTCGCCTTCGCTACTACCATGCAAGCATGGTAGTTTCGCTATCGATCGTTTGCTCTAGTCGTGTGTTCGAAAATCGGAAATCAATCGTGGTTGATGAGAACTCTGTCGTGACTGCAATGCATTGCAATTGAACGCTTTCCGAGTTATAAGCACTGAATCAGTTGCACTGAAAACATGGGTACAACTGACTCTTACATCATGGGTGATAGGTGATACTAGTGTAGAAGCGAGTGAAGACACACGTTGACAGAAAAACCACGAGACATGGTCAAAAATCTGGTATGTGAAAAACCATAACCAAACCCTAGCCAACATCATGAGTAAAAAGATGTGCGAAGGAGCAGTCAAGAAGCAGCATGTTGCTTGCGCGACTCGGGCCACGGGTCACTGCGGTTTCCGCAGGATATGGCGCCTTGGTCAACGTCATCCGGCAGCAGTGTTACTAGTCCTTTTTGTTGCTCGACTAGCCGCGTTTTCCTCAGAAAAGAAGCCAGAAGGCCATCGAGTTCATATTCAAGTCGCCCAAGTGGAGCAACAGGTTCATGCTGTGGTAGATGAAGACCATCTTTATGATCATGGTCGTGTGCATGATGTGCCTCCCCAAGGATTGCATTCCACTACCAAGAATCCTATGCTACAAGCACTGCAACGCCACGCCCGAAGGAAACCCGACGTTCCTGCAGTCAGAGCGAGTCTTGCTTTGGCACTCTACAATGAGGACGAGCTTGGGTTGATCGATGAATTGCTGTTCAGTTTGGGTCACCCTTACGGCGAGAACAATGGTGATGGGGCTGCTTCTACGAGTAGTGCTACAACTGGAGAGGATTCACGGTCCCGACCATCCGGAACTGACGTAGTGGATTTGGCCAATGATCATGAAAGGGATTATACCAACATCGAAGATGCAGCTTTTAGTGCAGGTGAGGATATGCGCGTTGCACAGCGGTATAGAACTGGTTCTAGTACTAGTGCTAGAAATAGTACCTCTAGTACTGCAACTACTACTGGTAGTGGTACTGCTGCTCGTCTCGACTTTCAGAAGAGTCATCCTCCTAGTTCTCTTCAGCTGGTGACGAAAGAACATGGAAAAATCAAGAAGCATAAGAAGGACCTTGACCAGAGAGACGGTACAACTTTGAAGAAGAAGAACAAGCAAAGCATAATTCCAGAGAGCTCAACATCTTCTGGCTCCATTTTGGACTCCACTAGACTGGGAAAGGGTGTCGCAGCTGCTGTCCGAGACGCTTTTGCCAACGAATTGCACGTTTGTAGACCCGCTGTTCGAGTGACCAAGGTCGTCGTTTTGCCTCCAGAAATTCTGAACCCAAGTGTTTCGTCACCGGCGATCCTAGAGGATTCCACTACTGCAGGTGATAATGTTCTGCCAACGTCGGCGACTACTAGAAGTAGTTCGGAGGTAAGAACGTACCATGCAGCTCCTGGTTCTCCAGACTCTATCTCTGCGCCATCTGCTTCAACAGGAACCGCTATGCAGCCTTCGTCCATCCCTACTAATCCTGAAGACAACATCAAGAACTCGTTTGAGCCGATGCTGCATCTAGAAGTTGGATCCACGAAATTACCAAGACGCTCTTTTCCTGTACAATTAGATGCTAACCAGCCACGCCCAAAGGGAGAGCCAAAAGAACTAGCAGCCTTCGTAGATCGTGCGGGGTCGATCATGCGGAATCTTTTAGCAGAGGAGAAGAACCGACGAGAACGAGAAGCTAGGAGAAGCAAGTCGTGGGGTGAACAAGAGTATGAGGAGTTGCTGAAAAGTGGCGAAGAAGGCGAAGTAGATGGAGTAAGACATGAACAATATGAAAAAAATCACGATGCAGACGACGAGCAAGACGAAGTAGATGAAGATTCTCGCACAGTCGAGGAGCTGAGTCACATGGTTCCATCGACGATTTTTTTGCAGACTCAACAAGAGCAGACAAGTCAGCAAGAACAGATGCGCAGCAGCCAAGAATCACTGATGCATATGTTCCAGCACAGCCTCACTGCCAGAAGTGTTCTCGAGTTGGCAGGTCATGGTAGGAAGCATATGGTGCTATTGGACGCTGACGAGAACCCTTTTTTGCCCTTAGATGGCATCGCTAAGAACGATGTTGGGGCATTAATGAGGAATAGAAGGAGGAACCAAGATGTTACCAAAGAGGGACGTTTGATGCGACTCGAAAATAGTAGTGAACCATTGGCAAAAGCCAAAATAGAGGCTCGATCAATGTTGGCATCTCCTACTTCTTTGTCCAGCACATCAACTGACGGCAGACTTTCGAGGAGAATGCAGCCGATTCGGCAGGAGGAAGAAGAAAAAGGCTACAGCGACCTTGACACGATCAAGTGGAAAATGCCTTATGCCAAAAGGAAGAGACATGCTCCTTCATTTTCTTCTTCACTTTCTGCCAGTACTAAGACTCACAAGCCAGCAGGAGCAACGATTTCCGCAACTTTTTTAGCAGAGCAATCTTTTCCTACAACCCCTCAAAAAACAAGTAAAGAACCTGGTGAGAGCGTTACAAATGTTCTGAATAATACTAGTACCAACAAACAGCGCGCCTCAACCTTTGACATCGATGAATACGACTCTGATAAGGATTCATCCAGGGCAGAAAAGGTCCCACCAGGAGCAGTATCGCATGGTGCCAAAGGAACAACAGCAAACAATGATAATGGAGGACTAGGAAGAGATGATGACTCCTATGGCTCCTCGGACAAAAAGACTACAACAGTGGATGGCAGTACTAGCTCGTCAGGTGGATCGACTCCGGACGCAAGTGGAGGACCGTCGGCAGAAGGCCTAGTACCTACCATGAGAAAGGACCACGACATCTTCAATCATAATGATGTTAATGGACCAGGTACTGCTTCCGCTAGAACAGCACCAACATCATCGTCAAACTATGACGATATGTCAGCATCAACCTTAACCTCTGCCGGACCAAACAAGCCTCTTTACGCCATAGTAGATCTCGAAGTCCTGAATCTGGATGGGAGCGAGAAAACCACGCATTTGATCCGTGATGCGCTCCTAGGTTTGCAGAAGGGTGCGGGGCTTGGCATGCTAGACTATTCCTTCCGCGTGGTTTTGTCGGAGACGTTTTTAGGCGAAGTTACTGGGAGAATCATGGGATTCACCGACTTGGGTAATAGAAATAGGAAAGTCTTAGACTTAATAGCTACAGTCGTGGCTTTCTTAATGGGTTGCCAGCTTGCACCGGCTTCGCCAAGTGTGCAACGGGTGAGCCGCCTTGCAATCTCTTCGCCGTGGACTTCGCCGCGCTCCTCTCGGCATTCGGTTTGGGGCACAGGGAGGGCCGTCGGCAGCAACACCAGCGGACACCTCCACGCAGGGAGCAGCTGGACCATGCGGCGCGTGGTAAGCCGCGCGCGATGCCCTTAGCAATGGCGCCGCAGCTCGAGTGGCTGACGCGCTTGACATCTTTCAGCAAATGGCCTCCGCGCCAGTTGCGCACTTGTTCCCGAGTATGGCAGACCGACACCGATGCCCCTCCGGGGGGCTGCGCGGTCCTTGTGCTCAGCGTTAACCGTGACCCATGTAAAAGTAGAGCAAGCTCACAGACGACGCGAGAGAGTGCGCCCAAGGCTTAACTTACGACGAGCGAAGGCCGCGGCGCCCCTCTTTAAGCAGCTCGGCCATTCATGGCGGGCCGAGGGCAATGCAGCAAAGTTAGAGCCCCCCCAGCGGTTGCGTTTCGCGTTTTAACTCCTACCCTAACTCGGATTAAACTCCTGGCACATGCTCGGGCTCGTTTCTGCTGTTAAGGGGGTCAGCTTTTGAGAGTGGGAAAAACTTTCTTGGAGGCATTTCTGGACGACTGAAAACGCAGAAAAAAAAACGTGGCCGCGTGGCAAGTGTTTCGCTTTTATGCAAGTGCGGGAGCATTAGTGAAAACGTCCAAAATCTTGGGACATTCTTCCAAGCGAAAGACTGCGAAACCCAAGCACCGTCGCGGCGGTGGTCTTTTGTTCGCTTATGGGTCCAGTTTTTCACCCTTTGGCCTCTTGTCTTTGTCTGGCTACTAAGCCCAACCACGCCCGGCCGCACGCCCCCGCTAGCTTCTGCTTCGCTAGCGGATGCGAACACAAAGCAAGAGAAGACCGACCAGCCTAGAGGAAAGCGAAGCGGCGCTGGGCTTCGAGCCCCGCCGAACCTG